ATGAGGAATGTGATAGTAGAAGGCAGATTTTGAATCTCAAGCAATTGTGCTAGTAGAGATTGATGCTTTGTCAGCCCACAGTATAGCAAATTGTAGAGGCAAAGTAGTGACACCAAAGGTATCTATGAATTCATCCTTGAAACCTTTGAATATGTTACCTCACATGGTAAAAGGGACTTTGCAGATGTGATTAAGTTGAGCAGTTTGGTGGGGAGATGACCTGGATTATCCAGGTGGGCTTGATATAATCACAGTGAGCCTTATAAAAGGGAGGCAGGAGCATCAGAGATGATTCAAGAACAGAACAGAGTTTGAAGTGAAGCACTTTGAAGGGGCCAGAAGCCAAGGAAACAAGGACTTTCCAGAAACTGGAAAAGGCAGGGTAACCCCCTAGAGTCTCCAGAAGGAATACAGGCCTTCTAACAAACACCTGGATTTTACCCAAGTGAAACTGATTTCAGACTTGTGACCTCTAGAGCTGTTAAGGGAGTAAATTTGTGTTGTTTTAAGCCACTTTATGTGTGGTATTTTGTTACAGCAGCAATGGGAAACTAATACACAGATTAACTGCCCTGGATATAGACAAAAATACTGGATTTTATGTAAACTGCTAATTTTGGAACTGGTATCAGATTTCCTCACAATTTACTGCTTTAGAGCAAAGGGCAAACAGGTCTTGGCAAAGCTGCATTGAGTAGGGAAAAGAGAATGGCTTTTGAGGCATACAGGCCCCCTGTTTCATTTATTGGCTATGTGACTGAGGGAAAGCACAACCTCTCCAAGCCTTTCCTCACAGGGTTGCTGTGGGGATTATAAGAGAAAATGCCAGAGCAATAGAATATGTTCTACCACATAAAGTGTAAATTCAGCCTCTTAGTGCTTCAGGTTCCTCATAGGTAAAATGGGGATAATTGTAGTAACTATCCCATTAGGGATAGTGCTTGATACATAGTGAGTCCTGCTCTTATTAAAGAGAATAAGCTCCTAGAGTGAAGCAGGTGGCCAACAAATGAACTGGCAGTGTTGCCATGTACCTTTTCAGCACCACCCTGTACGCTTCCCATACCTGCACTGAGGGTTATGGGGTCTCACTGAAACTTGGTCTCTGAAGTCATTGACCTGATGGCCTAACTCAGAAGGCACAGGAAAACACCTGTCCAGGTAAGGTGGTAGATGATTGTTAAATGAGCAGCACTGACCATGAACAGCATATGACTTCAGTGTGGGAGGACAGTAAAGGAGTCCGTGCAGAAGAGACAGGATTCCTGCCCAGATTTGACAGACAAAGGGGAAAGGCACCCTGTGCGGGAGAAGCGAGAACGGAGACGGGCAGGGCCGACTGCAGGGGGATGAAGTCCTGACTAAGCCACTGGGCTTTATTATATGACCACAGAGAGCCACTGAAACAAATCCTAGTAGAAGATGGTTATGATCAAGGTGTGTTAGACTGACATTTGGCATATATAAAGTGGTTCCCAATTATGGTGCTGTGGCACACCAGTGTGATAGGGTCCCTTGTGAGGTGTATATAATGTTAATATATAGCCAACATCAAAGTTGATGATGATGATGATGATGATGATGATGTGTGTGTGTGTGTGTGTGTGTGTATTTAAAAAAATAGAGAAGATTCAGGAGACTAATGCACTAAATATGTGTTTCAAAAGAAAACCGAACAAGAAGTAACAAGATATTAAAGCTAAATTGATAAAGATAAATATTTACTGAATCCTTCAACAAGACCAGAGATAAAAACCAAGGGACTCAGTATTGAGTAATAGGCAGACTTGAAATTAAGAAGGCCTTCTAAAAACCAAATCTAGAATTAGATTTCTGCTTCATATTTGCCTAATTTTTTCTAAAATAAAATTTTAACATAAATACTTGGACTTTATGCTCGGCCCCTCCAGACCTGCAGAATGTGTAAATATTGGCTATTTGCCATATGTCAGGCAAATGCTCTACAAGGTCCAGAGAAGGTTGCATTCTTAGCAGGCAAATGATGATGAACGTTAATTATGCTTTTATTCCCCTTGAAAGAAAAGCATATTGCATCAAGCCAGTGTAGCCCAGGGTTCAAACAGCAAAGAGGGGGAGTTTCTGCCTACAAATGGGCAAAAGTCTACCATCTATGGGGTTATCAGGTCTTGAAATGAAGCATTTGATCTCCCATCCTTTTCTTTCACATGAAAAAAGACTGTAAACGGGGTGTTGAAGGATTAGAGACCTAAGCACTAGCCTCTGCTAGATCCAGGCAGCTAAATGGAAAAGACCCCGTGAGTGCACAGCAGGTCTCCTTGTCTCAATAGGATTGCCAGGAACACAAGGGCTCACCAGACAGATGGACTGATCAATAGCTGGTGTCCTAAGCACTTTCCTGAGGCAACAGCCAATTAGCCTGGAGACACATGTTACTCTTTACTTATTCCATGTAGCATAAACAATGACTTCCTTTCTTTTAATAAGTGGTAGTAATAGCTGGTTTTGCTTAAGAAAACTTAACCAAAGAAGCAGGCTTCTAGAAAATAATGTAAGAAAAACAGTCTATTGTTTCCACTAGGTTCAGAGAGATTCCTAGAAGTGACCAAGGATCCTTAAAATGGACCCAATGCACCAAATGTTTAACACGGCGTTCCCACCCCCCAGCTCCCCAGAGGATAGAATCTCTGGTCACTTTCACTTTCTGTGTTCTTTATTTCTTGTTATGTTTTAATATTTTCCGCAATTATTATGTATTGAGTATGAAATAAGATATTTTTAAAGATCCTAATAAAGTATAGTCAGTGGCACAGTGGATGAATTTTAAAGAGCTGTTTATAAGTTTCCTGATCTGAAAACTGTACTTATATAGGCATACCTTAGAGATATAGCAGATTTGCTTCCAGATCCCCACAATAAAGCAACTTGTAATCTTTTTGATGGTATAGGGTCTTGCCTTTAATTTGTTTAAAAGAGAAAAAGAAGAACAAAACCAAAACAAAAAGTGAAGAGCAATAAAACAAGGTTATACCTGTACCTGGCTTATCCCAAAGGCTTCTCCCTAGTGGAAGGAAATTGTAAGTTTTCAAAATAAATTCATGTCCTAAAAGACTCAAGGTATATGGAAAGTGGAAGAATAATTAAAGCTTTGGAAATCCACTTTTTAACAGGGAGATTGGACATGGTGTGGAGGTGGTGGTGGTAGCAAAAGACCAAAAAAGATCCTGCATATGGAAGTGCTCTAAAAACTTAAACAGCACCATAGGTTACCGCCATTATTCAGCAGCACGTGTGGCTAGTGCAAAGAGGCTGGCGTTCTACGCACTTTTACTGTTAGGTCAGTGTGACCTATAACCACATAACAAACATAGCAGTAAGATATAAAGTCAGAATTTTCAGGGCTTGTGGGGCAGTATTCTTGATTGATTTATTCATTTTGTCATTCAACTAAATATTCTATCCAGAACTTATTATGTGCTTAATGGCAAAACAAGCTAATAATATAGGGACTTAATAGTATCACCAGTGGAGGTTGATTTGAGCTGATTCTCCATCTTGTCTGAGGGTTGGCATGAGTTATTGGTGCAGTTTTAGGTCATGGATTCACTCCAGTTAAAGGTAAAAGTAAAAACACACTAGAAACCAGGAGATCTGGGTTCTGGACCAGACTTTACAATCTTGGGCAAGGCCATACCTAGGCCACAGTTACATCATCTGTAAAACAAAGGGGCTCATACAAAAGTTCCTGAGGGCCATTTGAGCCACAGTGGTGGCATAGTGGAAAGGATCACATAAACCCAGGTTGATGTTCAACCCTAAATTTGCTGGCTGTGAGAGCCTCACTTTCCTCAAACACAAAATGAAGATAATAAAATCTGCTTTTCACTGGATTTTTGTAAGGATTGCTGTGAGGATTCAATTAAGTATGTAATATATATATACATTTAAAAAAATCCTCACCCAAGGGTATGTTTATTGATTTTTTTTTGAGAGAGAGAAAGGCAGGGTGGGGGGCCAAGGGAGGAGGGTTAGAGAGAGAGAGAGAGAGAGATGTGACAGAGAAACATTGACTGGTTGCCTCTCGTATGCCCCATGACTGGAGATTAAACCCACAACCTAGGTATGTGCCCTTACCAGGAATCGAACCTGCAACCTTTTTTGGGTTATAGGATGACACTCCAATCAACTGACCCACATGGCCAGGCCTGTAATATATTTTTCTTTTTTCCTTTTAAAGATTTTATTTATTTATTTATAGACAGAAGGGAAAGGAAGGAGGAAGAAAGGGAGAGAAACGTCAATGTGTGGTTGCCTCTCACACGTCTCCTACTGGGGACCGTGGCTGCAACCCAAGCATGTGCCCTGACTGGGAATCGAACGAGCAACCCTTTGGTTCGCCGGCCGGTGTTCAATCCACTGAGCCACACCAGCCAGGGCTGCAATATATGTTTCTTAACAGAGTGCTGCTACATAGATGTTCAGAATATGTAATATCCTCTTCACATCCACAAACTATCACACAATAGCATGGAAATTATGAACTTAGCCATAGACATTTAAGCTCTAAAAGAAAATATATAGTCACTATTTGTTTCCAGTGCTAAATGGAAATATAAATAAAATAGAAAATGCTTTATATTTTAGTGTTTTGCTCACTCATTACTATTTCATTTTTTGAGCGCTTTGCTACATCACAACCCCAAGATGCACTGGGAGAAGGCAGGGGCTCTGGCACCTGATTGTGAAAAGCACAAAGGACGTGTGGAAATGGCAGCGCAAAGGAAGGGTATGGAAGTAGCTACACTACATCTTTTGGAGGTTACATGGTGTACCACAGTAGGAAAAACATGGTATGTAATGAAAACATATGGCATTGAATAAGATTGGGGGAGTTCTTAGAAGAGAAAATGAGCTAAACTTGAACATTGCTTTAAAGGGACAAAACTACTTAAAGGGAATGTCCCCTGTCCTGAATCACTGAGGCAAACACAACTCCCATACTGAGCAACCTCAGAACTCACCGGCTGCCATTGCGCAGGGTACCAGGCAGGGGGACAGTTGAAACGGTTACAAGCTTGCACTGTGACGGGCTTCTGCTGGCGACACAGATCATCAGCCAGGATCACTGTTTCATTCATCTCTCTGGAGCGTATTTGGGAGCAGAAGACATCTCTGGTCTGCAGGCCAACCCCACAGGTGAGACTGCATGGACTCCACTTGCCAATTTCCCATCTGGGAAGAGATCAGAGAAGAGGACACCCTGAGCGCCTGTGAAGAAAACATTTCCCATGATATGAAATGTTGTTAATGGAGAAAAAACACCTAACTGGGAATGTGGGAAGTTCCAGCACAAGACAAGCTAGGAATTCTATCCCAAGCTTCAAATTCATCCTTTCCTTTTATGCTTTAGCATTTATTTCAAACAAAGCAAAGAAGGTGACAAAATGGAACACCCAATTTTTGCCCACACAATCATCAAGAATGGTCACAATCATGTTTATTTTGATGGAACATAAACTTCATCAAAATAAAGAGGGTGTGCTTGGTAAGACACAGGTGGAACATGTAATGGCCTTGGGCACCATGTATTGAATAGTGGGTTTAGAAGAAGCCTTTCTGCTCATCTCTGCAGCCATATTCTTAGCAAGACTGAACAAAGTTGTGCTTGCTTTTCTTTGGCTTCAAAGTGAAAGGCCTTCGGCTCCAACTTCCTTCAAACTTCCATTATAGCACAGAAATATCTCTGTTCTATGTATAAATCTCATCACTGCCTGGGACTGGAGAACATAACAAAAGTGAAGGTTACTAAATAGATCAGTCTGCTTACGGAGTCTACTAAATAGAGCAGTCTCCATAAGTGGAGAGAACTGCTCATTATCTGGAAGTGGAAGTCAGATGAGTTGAGTGCATAAATTGGCCATTCTAAATGGCCAAGTCTCAAGGAGTACATTTATAGTGAGCTAAGGGCCCATAAAAACATTCCTACTGCATTTCCCTGTTGCTGCAGTCTCCTAAATGGGAATGATAAGGAAAAAGCTCAGTTGTTTGGGCTCTGAGTCAGAAGCATTCTTTAATGATCAGTTTTTGAAAGTTCTGTTTACAATGTGAGGCAGAAAGATTCTACAAATGAGACTTAGCCAAGAAAAGCATCACAAGTGGATCCTTCAGTAGCTAGGCCCCCTACCTTCCCTAGCCAGCCCTGAAAATTGGTTTAAATTCTTTTTTGTCAGACTGTAAAACTGAGTGTATACTCAATCTTTTCCTGTCACTCTGATACATAACTACCTTTTTAATTCCTATTTCTTCAAGCTCCTTCGATCTACCCTATGCTTAAGCTATATTTGTAGTGAACTACTCTGTTATTCTCAATTCATGTCCACCTCTGGTTTTCTATCTCTGTCTTTATTCAACTTGTTACTTCTAATTTGGAATAATTTTTGTCCTTTTTCTGTCCCTCAAAATTATTCCATTTCTATATAGCCAAATCTGATCTATATTTAAAGGGTTGTATTTATAATTGCAGCAGACATTGATCATTTTCTCAATTGTATTATAGTTATCCTGCCTGTTAAGAGCCCTATAGGAGGATGCATCTCTTAAAGGCAAGGTCTATGTCTGAGCCAGTTTTATATCTCTCACAGGGTTCCTCATAGCACCTAAAATAATAGTTAATGTACATGGTTAATTATTTCCTGATAAATTAGCACATGGAAGAGACCTACCATCATAGTGGGAGTTTTATACATGTTATGTCATCAGCTACTTCCATAACGACATGAGACAGGCTCTGCTGATTTTCATTACAGCTGGGCTGTCATGAATTAGTAAGTAGTGAATTAGTAAGTAGTGAATCCATGATTCAGACTTGGGTATGTCTGACTCCAAAGACTTTGTGCTTTCTGTCGTACCATGCTGTCTCCAGAAAATTCCTTGGAAACTGCCCTATCAACATTCAACGTATCGAAATTTTAAATCTATAGAAGAGGAGAAGCTGGGTTGAATACATTTCTTTTAGATCTTGTATGAGTTTCTATAAACTTATTTTTAAATGTTTAGCTTTGGTTAATCACAAACTTAAAATGTTGTGGGGTTATTGGTTTTAAAATACACCCATACATTCTTGATCACTCCTCCTGTCTAAAGATGGAGTCTTGAGCAACAGCTGAACTTAGTGGCTGACTTGTAATGAAAAGAATAAGGCAGAAGTTGGTGCTATGTGACTTCCAAGGCTAAATGATAAAGTGAATATAGTTGCCACTTGTCTCTCTCTCTTTGACTTCTCATTCTAGGGGAAGTTACTTTGACTGCTCGTCTGATAGCCATTAGGTCACATGGACAGTCCACCTGCAAAGGAACTGAGGCTGGTCACCAACAGTCAGCCCCATCTTTCCCATCACGTGAGTGGACTACCTCAAAAGCAGGTCTGCTGGACCTACTATGGCCTTCAGACGACTCCAACCTCATGAAACTGAGCCAGACCTCCTTTCTAAGCGGCCCCCAAATTTCTCACTCATTAAACTATGAGAGGTAATACATGTTTATTTTTGTTTTGAGCTACCAGGTTTTGGGGAAATTTGTTACACCAAAACAGGCAACTAGTACAAGGATATACTCTCCTTCCAAAATGTATATATGCTCACCAAAAGACATGTACAAAAATATCCAAAGTAGCACAATACATACTGCATCGGGGAATAGCCCCAATGTCCATCAACAATTAAGTGGATAAAACATTGTGATATATTTCTACAACACTATAAAACGATGAGAATAGGCTATAACAATAAGCCACACTGATGAATCTCACAAACATAAAATTGAGTAAAAAAAGCCACAAAGGCAAAAATTCTTACTGTGATTTCATTTATATAAAGCTCAACCCCCCAAACTCTGCTATGGTGTTAGAAGTCAGGATGGTAGTTCTCCTCGGTGGGCAGTAACTAGAAGAGAGGTATTGGGGGAAAGGCTTTTGAGATGAAACCTTGATCGGGACGCTGGATCTGGATTTGCTTTGTGAAAGGTCACCAAGCCATACACGTATGATTTGTGTACATTTCTCTACACTTGTTACATTTCAAAAGAGGGTGTTTTTTCCCCCACTTTCAAGTGGAATAGTGAATGTTGTGGATGGAAAACAAAATCCAACCACCATGCCCAATGCTATGACCCCTCTGCGTATGCCTATATAGTAAATGCTGTCCCAAGGTTAAAATGTGTCATATGAGAGACTCTACACTCTATTGTCCCCACCCTGCCCCATCTTTGAAGAACTCAGTCACTGCAACCTTGAAGCAGAGGCATTTTTCCAGCCATGAGGCCACTTCAACGCTCTTCAGAGAAACTTGCAAAACAGACATACCTGCCTACCCACAATAAAAGTACATTACATTCTCAAAGGAAGAAGTCAGCCAAAGCTATCTATGTATGAAACACTGCCGATTCTGGGTTGAAAGTATTTTTAAAAACATTTTATTTGCCTTTACAGTTTATATTTAATATTATTTTGTATTAGTTTCAGGTGTGAAGCATAGGGGTTAGAGAATCAGACATTTTACAGAGTGTTCCCCCTGACATTCCCAGTACCCACCTTGCACCATCACACTTGGGGTCGAAAGTACGTGAATGAACTTAGACAAAAAAGGGACAGCAGAGACTCTCCTCCTACTTTTCCCTGCATAAATGCTGCATATGTGAGCCTTGGGCTTCTCTGAAAATTGTGGCTATGGCTGTTTCTGAGGACTGGATTGCAGGCCAGGGGGAGCCAGCCTGGGTGGGCAAGATTGGGCACAGGTGGTAGCAGTGGGAAACTTACAGACCTCCCCTGGGATTCTGGGGCCTGGTTTCCACATAAGCCCAGTGCTGAGGAGGACAGGCTCTCTGGTCTGAGCTTCAGAGGGTGAGGGCATTAGTGTTTCTTCCCCAACCTTGCCTGGGTGACTTTTACTCATCTTTTCATCTTCATTGAAAATGCTACTTTCTCAGGGAGGAAGACTTCAGTAGGGGAAAATGCTCCTTTAATATAGGTTCCATGAATACTTTCCCATTTGGAAATTCTCAACACACCATTTTATTACTTTATTTTTCTTTATTTTTATTGTGTTAAGAACATTTAACACAAGATCTACCCTTCACAAAAATTTATTTTAATACAGTATTGTTGACTATAGATACAATGCTGTACAGCAGATCTCTAGAGACTATTCATCTTGTACAACTGACACTTTATGCCTGTTGATTAGTAACTCCCCATTTCCCCCTTCCCAAGTCCCTGACAACTACCACATCACTCTTTGAGCTCACGAATTTGACTGTTTTATTATAGACCTCCTGTAAGTAGAATCATGCCTTATTTGTTCTTCTGTAACTGGTTTGTTTCACTTAGAATAATGTCCTAAAGGTTTATGTTGTCCCATGTTGAACATCTGCTTTGTGTTTAAGGCTGAATAATATTCCATTGCATGTATATGCCGCATTTCTTTTATCCACTCATCTATCTATGGGAATTTAGGTTATTTCCACATCTTTCCTATTGTGAATAGTGAGTACTACAGTAAATATGAGAGTGCTCATATCTCTTTAAGGTCCTGACTTCAATTTTTTTTTGATAAATACCCAGAAGTAGAATTCCTAGAAAATATAGTAGCTCTATTTTTGATTTTATGAGGAATCACCTGAGAAACCATACTGTTTTTCATAATGGCTGCTCCATTTTGCATTCCTAAAAACTGTTTTGTGGGAATTTTTTGTTTTTGTTTTTTTGCTATAGAGTTGTAGGAATTCCTTATGTCTTTAGGGATTAGCACCTTATCAGACAGATGGTTTGCTTTTTCATTCTGTTGATTATTTCTTTGCTGTGCTCAATATATGGTAATCTGTATGCTGATGAGAGCATGGGGCTATGGCTATTCTGGTTCATCACTTGTCATGGGTTGACATATATCCCCTACTGGAGTCCTAACCCCAGTACTGCAGAGTGTGACATTATCTGGAAGAAGGGTCATTGCAGATGTAATCACTTAAGCTGAGGTCATACTAGAGTAGAGTGGGTCCTTAATCCAATATGACTGTTGTCCTCATAAGGTGGGAGGGAAACACCAGGGAGAATGCCAGGTAATGAGAGAGACAGAGGCTGCAGTGTTGCAACCGTAAGCCAAGGAATGTCAAGAATTGTCAGCGGACGTCGGAAGCTGGAAGAGGCAAGGAGGAATTCTTCCTCACAGGTTTCAGAGGGA